GAAGACCACGCCAGCCACCTCGCCCACGGATCGAGTTACATCACTACGCACTGTCGCCGCTGCCGTGTCACGCCGCGGACCAGCGGCACGCGAACCACGATTGCCGGGCGAGGGCGGCCACTCGCCGCCAGGGTCAGCCCGGCCGGTCTGTTCGCGGTGCCGTCATCGAGTCACGCGCGAAACCGTCCCCGTGCACTCACAGTTCCGTCACAGACCCGCAAGGAAACAATCGCCAGCCACTCATATCGGCTGAGCCTGATCCCGGCCACGTCGAACGGTGATCCCAAAGCCCACGCAGATTGAGAGGTCTACACTTGTCGGTGGATAATAGGCACAAATCCGTGGGCGGTGGCCCACCCAAGGCCTTACGAACTCGGTACTCCGCAAACCGCACTCTGCAGGCCTCATGTGCGGATTGCAAGCAGCGTGTGCCGTCCCTGCGACGCTGGATCGCCAAAAGCGGTGCACCGCCTCGTCACTGTCCCCGCGGTTCCGATGCCCCCACCACGCTCACTGTCCCGAAGAGACCGCTATTTTGGTCGGCAGCCTCCAGCCACCGCCACCGCCGCACCGCGCAGCGCGAAACACCTCGGTCCTTAAGAGCGATCTGTGATGCAAGCACCTAACACCGTAGCCCAAAGCGCTACCAAGCAGGCGCGCGCCAGATGGCCATGCATCTGCAGTCTCCCGACATTGGATCCCCGGAAACCCGACAACTAAGATCATCGCGATCCTGACTAGAGCACGAAGCGACAACCACTCGCATCTGTTGCGCTGCACTCGGTGCAGCTAACGAAGACACGCAGCCGCCACGCGCCTTAATCGCTGCTCACATCCGAACGGAACCTGACGTGGCCTACTTTACCGGAGATCTGTCGCTTCTCTCGCCGCCCCCCACGAACCTTTCACCCGTATCCGACTACTCCCAACTTAACCACATCGCATAATCTCGTCCGGTCACGGCCACGGTGTAATCCGAAGTCATCCGCCGAACCTCCCGTATACGTGTTCAGTATTCAGGGCGTCGCCTTTCGTCTCCGGCATGGTCCTGGTGTGTCCGTTCGACGCCGGCTGCCAACCGATGATCTCCGACACCCAGGCGCGGGCGTGCTTGCTGCTGTGGCGCTTCTTGCCCAGGTGCGACTGCCAGAACCCGTAGAGCAGCGCCTGCGGAAACCACGCCATCAGAGGGCCGCAGGTCCCCGCGGTCGCGCCGAAGATGGATTGGCCGAGCTCTGTCTTGATGAAATCCTGGTCGCCCAGCTCGGCGTCTCGAAGATACGCGTCGCCGTTGCGATGTGGGAACTCCAGACTCGACAGGCGTCTGGGCAGATGCGCCGGCAGATGGGACAGGGCTGACAGATCCAGGACGAGTTCAGGAATCGATACCGTCTTTAATTCGCGTGTTTCGTTTCGGCGTCGTGCGCAGGCGGGTCTTCCCAGACGGTTGGCCTGCGACGGGACGTTGTCGACGACGATGACCCGCATGGACTCGGTATCGTTGCACGTCGCCCACCGGCGGTCCTGTTGGTAGGTGCCGCCCTCGTGTACACCGCTCAGCTTGACCCGTGACCAGCCATGTACCTCGCCAGGGGAACGAGCTCCGTGTCGATCCGGATACCGTCATCGAACGAGTCGTCTCCGCAGCCCTTCAGTAGTGCTTCAAGGTCGATCATGCGGGCCATCGCGGCCACCTCCCTAGTGATTTGGATTGCCTCGCCACGTCTCGCAGTGGGATATCGGTCGTTGGTTGGAATGAGAACAGTCGCTTGCAGCGGGCCTCAACGCAGGCGGCGACCTCCGTGCCGGCAGCGGATGGCGAGTCGGCGGATCTAGGGCCTCAACGCACCCACCGGCTCGCCAGCCGCGCAGCGGTACGCTTCGGCGTGTACCTCGAACTGCTCGCACCCGCTCCGCTGGTGGCGTGTGCGACACCTGCGGGGACGACGACGGCTCCGGTTTCATGCCGGATCCGGACGCGAGGAGCGGCAACGCCGCCGTGTAGGTCGAGCCACCGAGTAAGTATCATAACGTCCTACGCGCAAGAGCCTGCTGCTCAAGGACTTCAAGGCGATCCTGCGCGCGGCCGGGCTGCCCAGCAACCGGTACCTCACCACTACCTGCGGCACACGGCCGCGCCGCTGCTGCTGGCTCAGGGAGTGCACGCGCGGCCAACCATATGAGACGCTCGTACCCATCGTCATACTCAGTCTCTACGATGAACCCTAGCCCACGGTCACCTGCCGGCTCTTTCAAGCGCGAGGGCCAGCCGGCGTATGTAACCCCTCACCCCGAAACCCAAGCGATACCATAGGCCAAGTGTCAACCCCACCGACACAATAACCAATCCCACGCAATAAAACGACTAAGGGGTCAGCAGACCCAAAGCTAATTAAAAACGGAGACAATAAAGGTTGAACAGCGCGTTGAAGGCTAAAGCAATCACACCCTCAACCTGACAGACCGGGAGGATGAACGCAACACTTACCAGCGTTTCGCTCGCACAGCTACCCCCAAATAACGAACCCACTGTACGGGCGCAGGAACAGCCCCAACGCAAGCAAACAGAGGGGATCCCCCAATGGGGCACCCAGACAGAGAGGGGGAAAACCTAGGACACGCCAAACCAGAAACACCAAAGAACCCATCCGCCTCCCTCCCACCCTTCTCCCCTACTCTCCATGAACTGCAGGGCCAACCACCCGGCCAAACACCCCTTCTCTCAACGGGGTAGACAGACAGCAATAGCACCCACGCGGCGCCATCCCCACACTGCCACTACCCAAAGCCGTGACCGAGGAGGTAGGCTCCTGCGCAACCCCCTAAACAGATGCTCATTGTGAGCTACTCTATAATTACTATGTAGTGTTGCTGCATGTGGTGTGTCTTGTAGAGAGCCAATGGTTTCAGTTACCGCCATATCTAACTACTCTGAAGATTAGATTGAGACACATATCAGTAGAATAGAAAATGTTGTGTTCTCCTTGTCATTAATTTGGCGTATATACTGGTTATCCACATTCAGTCGTTGTGGCAAGGAAGTTGTGTGTTGTACATGTTTTATCTCTCCGTCTTTTCGTCCTCTCTGCACACACCCAGGAAGGTCAGACGACGGATTTCAGAGAGCCCAACCCATTTGCCAGTGACGAGGCTGGCCAGGTGGCGTCAGTCGCGTATAGGTCTGTACTACGGTGGTGTTGTACACTTTACGGGGAAGGGCACGGCAATCATTACGGCGCATGCGAAATTCCGCGTACGCGAATAAATTGCCCAGTTCTACATAGTGTTAAAAAAACTCTCTCTGAGTTCACTGAATCTGAAAAGGAAATCGTTGAAGCCAGCACTGGTATATAGCGGCGGAGCTCACAGCATAATCCACAGACGCTACAAAAGTATTCCATTTGTATAATATGTAACGTCTGTGTATGTATGTATGTAGGTACATGAAGTGGCAGCTGAAGGATGGAGTGGGTCTGGTGGCAAGGTGTGAGTACGACGCCGTGCTGCCTCCTGCCAGTAAACCCACCTACGTCAGCATCAAGGCTCGTCTGAACGATGTGACTCCAGGTTACAATCGCACGAGTAATGTATGTAGTTGGCTCTCAATACACGGAGCATGATTTTATATGCCTTCCTCTGAAATTTGTAGGTCTAATATCTGACTAAACCACTAAATTCTGGGTATTAGGCCTTCTCTGCCACTGCAGCTGTCTGAAGGGATGGACTGGAGGAAGAAGCTGGATCCCCAGAGAGGAGCGGTGCTGGCCACGGAGCTAAAGAACAACAGCTGCAAGATCTCCAAGTGGGCACTGTGTGCGCACCTCGCTGGCACCAGCTTCATCAAGTTTGGGTGAGCCTTCACACAATATGTCTACATTCAGTGTTTCACCCAGAAGTTCTTGCAAGAGGTTGGTCAATGTCTTCGTGGATGTCATGTGATATATACACGTGATGCCAGCTATATATATTGAAGAATCGTCGATATATTTATAGCTATTATTGGGCAAAATGATGGTGCTTTGCATTGTACGTAGGTAAAAGTGTACTGTAGTGTGTTACTGACGGTGAAAAGACCAGGCTAATAACCAGCATTCTACAGTAGAACTTGGTGTATCCTTTTCTCTCTCCCCTCCCTCATCCCTCTCTGCTCCCTCCTCCCTCCTCTCCCTCTCTTGTCTCCCTCCTCCTTCCTCCTCCCTCTCTTGTCTCCCTCCTCCTTCCCTCCTCCCTCTCTTGTCTCCCTCCTCCTTCCCTCCTCCCTCTCTTGTCTCCCTCCTCCCTCCCTCCTCCTCTTCTCTTTTGTCCCCTCCTCCCTCCTCCTCCTCTCTTGTCTCCCTCCTTCCCTCCCTCCCTCCTTGTCTCCCTCCTCCCTCCTCCCTTCCCCTCTCTTGTCTCCCTCCTGCTCTCCCTCCTCCCTCTCTTGTCTCCCTCCCTCCCTCCCTCCCTCCCTCCTCCCTCTCTTGTCTCCCTCTCTCCCCCCTCTCTCCCTCCTCCCTCTCTTGTCTCCCTCCCCTCCCCTCCCTCTCTTGTCTCCCTCCTCCCCCCTCTCTCCCTCACTGCCTCCCTCTCTTGTCTCCCTCCTCCCTCCCTCCTCCCTCTCTTGTCTCCCAGCTATGTATCAAGAAGCACCCGAAGGACTCGTCCAACCACGAGATCCTGGGCATACAACAGGTAAAACCGGTTGAGCTGGCTCAGATGGCCACTCTCGACATTGGCAACTCGTGGGGCATCCTCCAAGCCATCGTGGATGTCCTCCACGGGTTCCCCAGAGAGGAGAAGACCAGCAAATACCTCATTCTCAAAGACCCTAATAAGGTACAGGATACACCACTGTGGAACCTCTGATAAGGGACCCTCCGAGAGGGGGCCAAACACTCTATGTAGAAAGGACGCTCGTTTCAACCCCATGCTAATACTAATAAATGTATCATTTGACCTCCGAGACAGGGACGAACTGGTCCCACAGTGTCCCTTGTTCGGAGGTTCCACTGTAAAATGTGAAATTGCTTACTTCCCTGAGTATTAGGTGTAGGGAGCATTAAAAGAACTACGTAACATGAACTTGCCATCAAAACTGTGCGTTAGACATCACGTAGAGTGGTTTTGGTAGAGTGGTGGTATAAAGTAGGTCTATGGACTTATTGTTTGTTGTGTTGTCCACAGCCAATGCTGAGGATCTACAGTGTCCCACAAGATGCCTTTGAGAGTTCGGACGAGAGTTCGGAGAGTGGAGACAGTGGGGACGACGGAGGAAGGTGAGTAGTGAGAGTGAGGAGAGTGGAGACTGGGGACGAGGGAGGTAACGAGGTAGAAAGGCAAAGCAAGGCAAACAAGTCGACTACACCCAGGACAGCTCTTTAAAAGAAGAAGAGTTGCCCTGGGTGGGATTCGAACCCACGACACTCTGCAGTCTAGGCGAGCGCTCTACCAACAGGACAACTCAGCTGGATCTACAATACAACACAAAGGCAAACCTCAAACCGTGGTGCTATGGCACAGTATAATCTCACTCACTCTCAAACCATGGTGCTATGGCACAGTATAATCTCACTCACTCTCAAACCATGGTGCTATGGCACAGTATAATCTCACTCACTCTCAAACCACGGTGCTATGGCACAGTATAATCTCACTCACTACTCTATTACTTAGTATGGGGGCTACCAATGAGTAGCAGCCACTGTATGGGGTGGGGGGCTCCCATTGAATAAGCTGTCTTAATTGGTATACAGCTTATGAGCTCATCAAAACTGCACCGGTTTGCAGATTACGTAAGACTTGCTCACACTAGTGCCGCATTCGTTCTGGCTTATTAAAGGGACAGCTTTCATCTAGTATGCAAGTGAAGTACGTTTACCTTCTTTTCCCTGCAGCTAAAACTGAACTCCTTCACAAAACTAGGGCACTTTTCAAAGTCTCATCGTACTATTATTGTGGTTGTATATTGCCGTACACTGTTATGTATAATAGTGATGGTGACTAATTTTTACTGCCTCATAATGAAGACAAGTGACTGTATAAAAATAGCTAATTGAAAGAATAAACCTACGAATATTATGTTTAGCTAGCTATAATGATTGGCTACTTTCAGGTAACAATCAGATTCGAACCTCAAAGAAATAGTGTGTTAATGAGATGGATAGAGAACGCCAGTCAAAACTATTATGTGCATGGAACAACTGACTGACAGTCAATTGGAGTCTGTCAATCAAGTCGAACTGATGGAAGGGGCCGACTCTTTACCAGACAGTGAGGCAGGGCTGACGGAAGAGGCTGCGGTGGATATGTGGTCCCCGCTGGTCGTAGCCAGCCTCATCCCCGATCTCTTCCTCCCTCCCCTCCTCCCCTTCCCCCTCCCGTGACCCCCGCCCCCCAGTGGGGGGTGACTGTGTTGGACTGCCGCCATCTTTGGCTTGCTCCCGTGCGGAAACGCGCCGGGGACGTGAGGGAATATCTTTGTGACGTTGCCCACGGCTTTGGTCCGACCCTCTCTGAAGACCATTCTGGTTCCCGGCCGCAGGTACTCGGGGTTCTTTATGAATCTGAAGAGACACTTGGCCTTGTCGCCGGTACGCAGGTGTTCCTTGTTCATAGAGATAATGGAGGCCGTCTGCTTGGAGCTTCCACAGTGGACTGTGGAGAAAAGAATAGAGTTGGGCAAAATCATGGTGCTTTGCATTGTAGGTAAAAGCGTACTGTAGTGTTTTACTGACGGTGAAAAATAACCAGCATTTTACAGTAGAACTTGGTGTATCCTTTTCCCTCTCTCTATAGAAAACTGCCCTGCCTTTCACTCGTGGTGTGTGAATGACTTGTGTGAAAATGTTGAAAGAATGGGTTTGGGAAGAGAAAAAGAAACAAAATGCCAGAGTGTGTGTCTTCTCTGCTGACCCATGGCCTGGTACTTGGTGGATATGGTGGTGGGGTGGTGGAGGACGAGAATGTCCCCTTCAAACTCCCAGCACGCCACGGGTGTCTCACTGGTGGCCAGCATCACCATCCCCTTCCGTATCTGGTTCCTCCGCATCTGAAAACATAACATCAGTGGGCATGTGTACAAAACACCAGGCATGCGTAATAATAATAATAATACTCAGGTGGCTGCCATAGCACTAGGGCCCATAGACACGCACCCAGAGCAATGGGAGGAACTATATGCTGGACACTCCCACAACAGCATGACTCACACTTTCACACTCATCATCACACAACAGGCATGCGTAATACAAGAGGAATAGTGAACAGTTGCAGGGGCAACCACCTTGCCCCAAGACAGTCGTCCATAGCTGGTTGAACAGAGAGAGCTACATACGTAGGTATAATAGTACGTACCTTCTTGAGGGCAAATGAAGCAGTCTGTCCTCCCCGGACCTCCTTCACGGGCATCCTCTTCCTGTGTATGCCTCTCACGGACACGGGGACGAACTCCCCCAGAGAGGTGGGGCCGAGGAGGAGGGTGTCATTCATTCGGACCACTCCCTGCAGGCACGTCCCCGACACCACCGTACCCACTCCCTGTGGACAGAGGGAGGAGGGAGAGAGAGAGAGAGATTCAGAAAACCATGTGAAAAACAACTACATCAATACCCACGGTGAAAAAGTAAAGCGACTCACTACATAATTATACAGTATGGCACAGTTGAGCATAATTATCATAGGCCATTGTGTACGAAGCATGCAGCAACCTTTCCTAGAGCAGTCGATTTTAAGCCTTTTTTACTTTCCAATAACATGTATGTATATCTTCCAAACACATACTGATTCTGTGCGAATGACATTACTGATGAGTTAAACAAATAGAAAAAGAGGGGAGGAAGAAGAGAGCAGGGGGTGAGAGGGAGGAGTGGCTCACAGGGACGGAGTAAGTTTCGTCGATCTGGAACTCTGCCGGTTTGTCTTCGTTGGTGTGCATGCGGGCGGAGAGCAGGTTGAGGAAGGAACGGAGGAGGTCAAGGTTCTTCCCTGTCACGTTGGACACCTGGAATATCGGACAGATCCTAGAGATGGAGACAGGGAGGAAATAGAAATGTTGTTTATCCTTTGGCTGTTCAGTTCATTCATATACACTAGTCTGACTTTGCATAAGGGTGTAGGGTGTTTTCTAGGTAAACAAGAAGATACGTAAGCCCAATAATGTTCCAATATTGACATTCCATTTATTAGCAGTGTAGAGTCAATGTTTTGCAGGCGAAGGTTTAGTATACCATGGCCTATACGGTACTACCGCACCGCATCTCAATGCAGTTGGCTAGTGAGTGCAACATATCAAAACCAAAACCATGCAGTTTCATGAGAGAAAGGTATCTGTGTGTGTGTGTATGTACCTCTCAGAGGTGAAGTTGACAGCAGAAGTGATGACGTCATCGTGAGACTGGACCATGACGGGGATCTTGCGGCAACCGGGAGATTTCAGGACGCGATTCAGGAGTTTGAGGGTGTCCTGTAGGACGTTGACCGGACACATGTCGATCTTGGTCACCACCACAAACACCGGGACACTCAGTGCCAGAGCTAGACCCAGGTGCTCTGTGGACGGAGACGGAGATGGAGATGGAGGGGTGCATTACAAACACAGCCAGAGAGCTTCACTTACACTGCTGGTCATAAAGTACATACTAGCAATACACAGTGGGTGCAACATTCAGCAGTTTTACAGAATGAAGCACAACATTACGGTATTGTTGATGCCATATCATATAGAAATATCCCGTGTGTGTATGATTATACATACATAGTGATAGGAATCAGGTTATGTACATCCAATCCGTCTGAATTGTGGGATATGATACGGCATCGACAATACCGTAATGTTATGCTTCATTCTGTAAACTGCTGAATGTTGCACCCACTGTGTATTGCTAGTACATATATATATAGACTTTGTGACCAGCATTGATACTGACTGGGGAAGCCACACTACCGCAAACGGTTGGAGGTTCATGCACGATACAAAAAGGTTTTACTATATCTCGACAGGCCCGAAGCATGCCTGCAGCCCACCTTTAGTCATTCCGATAATCCCAGCATTTGACCCGACCATCAGCATACAGAAGTCGGGGGCGTGGCCGGTCATCCCAAATATGGTCGTCTTGAGGTATTTCTCGTGACCGGCGAGGTCGATGAAGGTCACCACCTTCGAGGCAGATCGGCAGATGTGCACCCAGTCCAGCGACCCTGCACAGCAACAGATGACACATGGAAGAATGAAAATCAATATGTTCAAAGTGCCGTGTACATTCAACTTTGTTTTGCTATTCACGGATTCAGACTTCACCTAAAATGTGGTGGGTGCTATGTCAAGGTCAGTGTTTGCAAATTCCACAGGGCAGACATACACATGAGGTTGGCATGTGCATTAGTCATGTTGCACGAGGTGCATACAAACAAGACAGTGGTTCATTGGGAACTGAGCAGAGTAAAGCATAGTGTGTTTGGTTTGTTGTTCACAAATTGAGAGTTTTAGTCTGAAAAATTTGAACAGGGTTTGTCTCAAACCAAGGCAGTCAAGTTTGCGCGCAAAAATCGAGAGTGCACAAAATTTGAACAGGGTTTAGTCTCAAAAATATGTCTGTGACGAATTTGCCCGCCAATATCTTGTGTTGAAGTGAGTCCAGTTTTTACCGTGACCGTCGGTTCTGTTGACCACGTGTCCCTCCTGATTGAATCCCAGGATGTCGTTTCCGACACTGGACGTTCGCCCGCTCTCCATCTCGTGCTTGTGTCGGAACAGCTTCTGTCGCGCCGTCCCTCGGCCGTTGTCCAGCTCTCCGTGAGTCAGAACACCGAGGAGGGTGCTCTTACCGGCGTCCACGTTCCCCACAACTGCAACCCTGTGGACCGAGAGAGGGAGAGATGGGGGCATCAATGGACTGTGTGTACGTATCCAGTGGCTATGGGGTCTTTGGAATGTACACTGTTGGATAGACGACCACTGATAGTGTAGTTTGGCTAATCCCTACATTAGTTGTGTGTGGTCTTATGATCATGCTCTCCTCTCCCTGTCTGTCCACCTCGTACTACATACGTAAATGCAGGGTTGGGTTATTGACCTGCTGCCTGCTACTAGTATACGTAAATGCAGGGTTGGGTTATTGACCTGCTGCCTGCTACTAGTATACGTATATAAACACTAACAAATGCAGGGTTGGGTTATTGACCTGCTGCCTGCTACTAGTATACGTAAATGCAGGGTTGGGTTATTGACCTGCTGCCTGCTACTAGTATACGTATATAAACACTAACAAATGCAGGGTTGGGTTATTGACCTGCTGCCTGCTACTAGTATACGTATATAAACACTAACAAATGCAGGGTTGGGTTATTGACCTGCTGCCTGCTACTAGTATACGTATATAAACACTAACAAATGCAGGGTTGGGTTATTGACCTGCTGCCTGCTACTAGTATACGTATATAAACACTAACAAATGCAGGGTTGGGTTATGACCTGCTGCCTGCTACTAGTATACGTATATAAACACTAACAAATGCAGGGTTGGGTTATTGACCTGCTGCCTGCTACTAGTATACGTATATAAACACTAACAAATGCAGGGTTGGGTTATTGACCTGCTGCCTGCTACAGTTACGTATATGCAGGGTGGGTTATTGACCTCTGCTCTAGTATACGATAAAACACTAACAAATGCAGGGGTTGGGTTATTGACCTGCTGCCTGCTACTAGTATACGTATATAAACACTACAAATGCAGGGTTGGTTATTGACCTGTGCCTGCTACTAGTATACGTATATAAACACTAACAAATGCAGGGTTGGGTTATTGACCTGCTGCCTGCTACTAGTATACGTATATAAACACTAACAAATGCAGGGTTGGGTTATTGACCTGCTGCCTGCTACTAGTATACGTATATAAACACTAACAAATGCAGGTTGGGTTAGATGACCTGTTGCTGCCTGCTACTAGTCTACGTATATAACAACTAACAAATGCAGGGTTGTATATGACTGCTGCTGCTACGCGTATTACAAGGTACTATAACACTAACAAGCAGGGTTGGGTTATTGACCTGCTGCCTGCTACTAGTATACGTATATAAACACTAACAAATGCTGTATAATACACGTAAAATAGTTGTGGAGTGTATGATTATAAACTTTCCTGCAATTGCATTCTGTTTACTTAAAGCTGGAGTGTATTGGCACTCCAAATAATGCCCGTGCACCCCTGATGTACCTGACTTCCATGAAGTCGTCCTCCTCGACTCTCCTCCGCACGAGGCAGTCGGCAGTGTGTCCCTCCTCGGCCTGTCTCTCTCTCAGAACAGACATGTCGGCTCCGCAGGCACTGGCCAGGGCCTGCATGGTGGCCAGAGAGGCCCTGAGATCCTCCTCGTTCAGACCACTCATTGCTCCTGGACACACAGCAGGGAGAGTGGTAAAGTTACCTCGTGTTGCACAGTACTGGTCATTTCGTACGGTAGTTCTCAATGTTGCACCATACAGAGTCTATATGTACATATGTCGTCTGTGCATTCATAACTACAGAATGAACGCAGTGCATTTTGCGAGAGTGAACACGAGTGTCACATGCGGCCAGGCATATACCGGATTATCAAGCATACGTCATTACGGTATGGGCAGACAGTACCACCAAAGCGCGCAATAGAACTGACTACAGTAGCATAATGATTGGAACAGAACAACCGCGTATTGTACATGGATTGCATTGGAGTCTGCATGCTACTATGAGCCGCGCTCTTAACAGATCCTAGTGAGAGAAAGAAGAAAGAAGGTGAGCTCACCTCCGGCGCCGACCTCATAGATGGTCTCTCCCTGACCCTCTTCCAGTCGAGACACCAGCTGCCTCTGGAGACTCTCAAACGTGTCTGCATCAGGACTCGTCATCTGGTGCTGGAGGAAGGAGGGGTATCAGTCAGTATAAACAGTAGTAGTAGTAAGTAGGGATGGGCTTGTTTCTCTCTTTGGATTTTGTAACATTTACTGGTATACAGTATTATACAAAGACAACACAACAAGGGATTGGGAAGCTTTTAGGCTGTGTCTTTTGCTTGCCAGAGCAAATATATACCTGTTTGGTCCTCACCCAAGGCAGTCAAGACACACTTTTACTTTTTCAGCCCATACACCATTAGGGCGGGGTAAACCATGGCATAGGTGAAATCAACAGAGCACTAAGTGGCAATATTCAGGGCATGTCCCCCGAAGCCTCTGAAAATTGACTACACTTGTCAAAATAGCATAACAGGTAGGACCACCTCATACCTTTATATTCACACCTCTAACCCTCTCCATGACTATTGACTTCAGGCACTAATGTTTGACTTCTAGCACCACACACAGACTCTCCCTTCTTCCTTCCTCCCCACTTCCCTTTTTTCATCACAAAACACACATTGCTGCCAGTAAAAAGCCATCCCAGTCATCTTCCTCTCTATTCCAATTTCTTTCTACACAATCTCCCAACACAAATTACACAAACACACACCTTCAGGTCTCTCTGGAGACCATTCCTGCCTGGAGACACATGGCAGCGGTGTCCGCTCTCCTCCACCTTCCCAGCTGTCATCTCCCTCCCGTCTCCCTCCACTGGTTTCCCGGGAGACCCACCAACACTCCCTCCCCCAGCCTCCTCCTCCTTCATCTCCACCTCATCCACTGCAACCAACCCTGCCATCTCTCTCTCTCCCTCTGTCTGTCTTTCCACCAGAGAGACTACTACAGTCTTCTTCCTCTCTTGTCTTGCTTGAGCTGTTCTTCTAGGCAGACTTACTGCTGTAAAGAGCCTGAGGTGGGATAAAAAGCGAGCACTTGCTGCTGGTGTTGTTCAGAACCTGAAGTTCCTTGGCTGAAAGACTCTTTGGGAGTATCAGTTTCTTTGTTCAATTCATAGTTTGTTTCCTTCTGTCGAGAATGAAGCGGTAAGCTTCCATGGCTACTACAGCCTGTTCTGGCTCTCTAATGCTACTCCATGATCGGGGAATCCTCTGATCGGCCTCGCTAATGCTTACCAGCAGGAGAAGCGCGCGCCTTTATAAACCAGCAAACGTTGTCTACGAACAATGCATTGTAAACGGATCATCCCAAATACGTGGATTGCACCACAGGATGGACATCTCACCTCTGGATTTCATCATCTTTGCTCCAAGGTTGCCCTGTTGCACCACAACGACGCAAGACGCGCGATTCCAAGCAACGCGGTGGGCATCTAATAGAGCTACTGGTGCGCTCTTATTGGAGTAACACACGCCAAAAGAGCGACCACAGCATTTTTAACGGCAGCGAAAAAAGGTAAGAGATCGGAGTGTATGAGCGTGATATTTATCTGGAAATAGCGTCCAGTGGAGTGTTTCAATCGCACTGTATGCCTCGTTGTATATACAGACTTACATAGACATGTTCGTTAGTATGGGGTTCAACTATGTCTAGGAATGTGAGAGAGAGAGAGGATGCCGGGTCTGTTGGTGCTGGGAGAGAGGGGAGTGGGGGAGGGGGTGGGGAGACAGTCTGGCTGTCCCCTCACTCTCCTACACAGTGGCAGTGTGTTCAGAGGACACCAGCAGAGCAAGGGGAGCAAGTATCAGGTCGAGGTGGTGTTCCAGGTGAGGCTCCATTTTACCCGATGGTCTTCCTGTGTTTTGCTAGAATGTTTTAGGGTGGGGATACAGCTCTGGAAGAGCAAAGTCTATTTTGTGAATGATTTGCTCATTATAAGGGTGGATTCCTCCTTCCCCCTATGTGGAAAAAAAACCATGATTCTGTGTCGCATTATACGTACCTTGTGGTAGTCCCATGCCTGATGATGCGAGGGGGGTACTGTAGAAGGCAAAGTATTACGTTTGGTGTGTATTGCTGGTGTATGTGTTCCATATCCTTCTGGTAGTCTTGTGCCCGATATTTCAAGGGTGGAAGTTACCACCTTTGCTCATCAAGTGTTGTACTCTGTCTCACTGCAGCATGTGGACTATGAGAATTCCTGTGTGTTTGGTTACCTCAAGATACAAGGACTCACTGAGGTTTGCCTACAATTGTAGATAAGTAGCTACTGCAATATCCTTGTAGAAGGGGTGAAGGGATAGGTACGTAAGGCGAAAGAGATATTGGCAAGACAAGCACATGTGATGTAAACGAGAGTTCGCAAGTCAGCTGCAAGCCTTCACAATAGTGTCCACCACCTATACATGTATATACTGTACCAGCGGAAGCTTCCCCATTCAGTACGTTTCATGTGCTCTGATTCAATAAAGCGACACTATATCTCTAGACGGTAATTCTGCAATATATGCAAATTCAGTAGCACACACGGCCCATGCAAGTGTGTTTTCATAAAAACTCTGAGTCACTCTCTCTGTCGCTCATACCATGCGCATCTGATGCACTTCAAGGACTATCCAAACCTGACCACATTCTTTGAGGGTGACGTATCAGCAGTCGCGTACCCGTTTGCCTCACTCTGTCAAGTGGGACGCCTCGGAGGAGGTGGACAGGAAACACTGGGGGAAGTGTTCTCCGTTCAGACCGTTCATGAAGACCTTCAACACAGACGACTTCTCCTATGACCAGATACAGGGAGCCGACTCTGTCTTCATGAGGTGGAAAGTAAGTCGGAGTCTATTCAAAGCTACTAGTCACTAGTGCAGTAGACTGTATGTAGGGCCCACAATCTGGCGACTCCGGTACCTATAGCATTCCATCCACAACGGTATTGGAGCTTATATACAAGACGCCTAAGGTGTGATACGAATTGACTTAAATTCTAGTCTGTTTCCTTTGTCATTGTGAAGGGTCGCGGTATATACATAGTTCCCGTCTGTATAACAAAGTTTCCAGTTCCTTCCTGTGTCACTCATCATTGAGCTGGCTGGGAGGGCTTGTTAAAGTAATTGTCAAGTGCTGCCTGCAGGTTAGGGAGTCGTTCATGGTGCCTTGTTTCTTTCCTTTTCCCCCGTCACCACCACAGGTTCACTGACACAACGGAGCTTACATTTGCAGGGTTCTATCTACATCTGTTTCCAGCACCCGCTACCAACGCCTCCCATGTGAAGGCTTTACTCTAATATTTCCATACCAAGACTCTCGGATGGGTGATATAGGTGTGGCCAGTGGCTGTGAGCTGTGGTTGACTTAATCGGTGGTATTTATCATGTGGCCCGCTTGTTCCCACTCAGTTCATGTCCCCATTCTCGGCACTAAGCCCTCTCTTTTGCCCAAGTGGGTGTTTGATCTACACGCACGCGTTTTTTTCGATGTCCTTTGTCTACATCTACTTTTGGTTTCACCCTCTTTAGGCCTCACAAAATGTTACTTTTTTAGTCGTTTTTGTGTCTCCCCCATTGTACTGGTATAAACCCTAGCCCCGCCCGCATCTTCCCCTCTGGGCCGCTGGTTCCATCTGCTCTATGCTGCCATTATTTGCACAAGTTAAGCTAACCGCCCCCCCCCTTCGATAGCAATCTCGATTCTCACACTTAGAGTCCCCTGGAGCACTGCGGCACTCAAAACCCCCATGACCCGTTACAATCTTCTATTTGTTGGACTTTAGCAGGGCTTTTGGCCAATAGTTGTCAAAAACTGTCACAAATATTATACTGTCACTGCCTCTTCGTTCTACTGGACGGCTATCAGTGTATTGAGTGGCGCGCATTGTGCTTGAGTAAAGTGCTAGTGGTTAGTCTATCAGTTCACTGA